GGACCATGGAGGCGGGGCCGGGAATGTGCGTTGGTGGGGAGCCCAAGACTGCAGTGCTTGCTGAAAAGGGATTAGGCAAAAGGGGTTCCTATGTGTGCAGCACTAAATGCCTTCATTCTTGTTAGCTCTGGCCCAGAAGCTGCACTTTTCCGAGCACTTTTTCTCGGGCGTTTGAATCCTCACTGCGACCCATGAGGCCGATATAATCCGTCCTCTCTGTGGAATAGACTGGGAAATGTTCATACGGGTAGGGGCAACATTGAACCCTGCCCGGCACTGGGCTTTGCCACAGAGAAAGCGAAGTTTGTGTCCTGGATCTGGGTCTTGGCGTTCTCACACTTCCTCCCCTGCACACGGGCACTGTCAGCTCAGGCCCCAGCTGTCCTGCTGGACTACGGCCCTTGCCTGAGGGCTGGGGCAGGTTGGGCGGCCATGCCTGGTGAGGCTCCTCCATGTCTCGAGGCCTCTATTTTCCCATCCACACAGGGTCCAGGGTCACCGGCTTCTTGGCATCTTGTGGGCCTCAGCCACACTGAGGTCCCGGCCAGGCCCTCTGGTGACAAGGTGGCTCAGACATCAGTCTTGCTGCAGCAGGTGCTGGCCACTCAGCCCCACTGAGGCGGCTGCTCCCATGTCCTGCAGCGCCCTACACGTGGCACTGCCAGGATAGGGGACCTTACCCTCTTGTTGTCACATTCCAGTCTCTGTGGTCATCCCCTGCTTGTAATTTTCAACCTTCTGCTGTTAAAAATAACCAGCTCTGAGCTTTCGCCGAGTCTTCTCTTTGCCCTTTGGGTTATTTCCTTGATGCACGTTCCCAGAAGTATAGTTACTGGGTCAGGGGCAGCAGAGCAGAATGTGGTTCCCAGGACTGACTCGGAGCCTGCTTCCTGGAAACCCCTGGGGGAGGGAGTGCCCGCCAGCCCCAATGGCCTCGTTTCCAGGGCCGGGCATGTGCCCAACCCACCTTCCTCAGCTCCTTGGGGGCAGACATCTGACCTACGAGACCAGCACTTTCCAAAGTGACCGTCCCAGGTCGCCTCTTCCCAATTTACATGTCATTGAGGGACTCCTCTGTTTTCTTTCAGTGTGTGTCCTAAAGGCTGCTTCATTAAATTGGAAGAGAGCCCTCTTTGGCTCCGGCAAATTAAAAAGGAAAGGAGGGAGGGAGCTCGTGGGACGGCAGGGTACCCCTGTGACATTACTTGCTCTAATGTGGCGGTCTCTGTCCAGAGATGTGAATGTGCTGCACTGGCCGATGCTTCCTCTTTTTTGTTTTGTTTTATTTTTTTGAGACAGAGTCTCAGTATGTGGTTCAGGCCAGCCTGGGACTCACTGTGTAGCTCAGGCTGGCCTCCAACTTAAGGTGATCCTTCTGCCTCAGCCTCCTGAGTGCTGGGATGACAGGTGTGGGCTGCCAGGCCCGGCCTGAGCCCCCCGCTACCTGTTCCTCTTTCATCAGCAACAGCGATGACCGGGCTTGGGAGCAGCTTCCAAAACATAATGGCAACGGTGGTGTTGACAAGCACAGGCCTGGCCCGTGTGGCTTTCTGGCCCTGTGGGGAGGCCCCTCAGGGCCCGCACCATCCTCCCTTCCTGGGCTTTGGCCGCTGACCCTGACTGAACCGCGTGGGGGCCCACATCTTTCGCTTGGGGCCTGGCTGCCTGTGCTGCCCGCTCTCCCCTTGTCTCTGTTGCCAGCCACGTCCCACGCTGGCTCCCTTGACCCAGCGGCCAAGGCCAGCAGGTCCCAAGGGTGGGCCACCACGAGCTCTTGTTTAGCTCCTGGAACATTTTTCTTCTCCCGGAGGGGGGTTGTTTATTGTACCTAATTCTAGATCCTCACATGTATCCTGCTGGCCAGGGGCCATCTTCCCAGCCTGTTGATTGGGCCCCAGGTTACCCCGACTTCTCCTCTGATGGGCTTGGCTGCAGGGTCCATAGTGCAAGCACTTGTGTCCCCATGGACCACCGAGGACCTCCCTGAGCTCCTGGCTGGTCAGTGCCCACCTGACCCTCGAGGGTCTGGGTCATGTGGGAAGCTGGAGGCGGCCCCGGGCCTTGTCCTTTGGTTGTGTCCACGCTGCCTGAGGAGAGAGAGGTGCTGGTCCCCAAGAAATGGACCAGTCCCAAAGCTCAGTGCCCTCCTACCCGGGCGAGGCCCTCACCAGCCTGCTGTTTTGGGGACCCAAACATAGTGTCAGGGACCCTGCTGGTGCCCCGGCTCGGTGCCTGATCCCAGAGAAGAGCTGAGGCAGGAGTGCTTCCCATGCTGAGCTCTGCCGTCAGGGAGGGGAGAGCCTCCCTCAAAGAGCATTCGGGGTTCTGAGAGGTGCGAGGCCCTGTTTTTGCCAAATAGGCTTGCTGGCTCTGTGAGCCAAGTGACCTGTCCAGGGCAACCAGTCGGGGACAGCGAAGCCAGTGACTTCTCTGGAAACGCTGGGGGCCATGTCCTCAGAGGCCCTTTATTTCTCCAAGACAGCAGATGGTCTGTGCTCCTGACAATGCTATTTTCATTCCCGGCCATTGCCCCGCCGGCCACCTCTTCTGCATCAGGTGACCTGTGCCGGGTACTGCCGAGGTGGCTGCATGCAGCTCATCTGGGCAGTGGTGGTTCACCCTCATCCTGCCCTGGTCCGCTGTGCCCTCTGGGTGACCTTGGACTGGGGACGTGGTCGCTCTGGGTCTGGTGTCCCTCGCCATGCAGTGAAAATGCTGAGGGCCTACGTGGATCCCTGGGGGGGCCCCTAGAACACGACAAGTCAAGACCTGCATGGCTGTTAGGTGGGGATTGTGGGCCAGGGTGGAGCATGGTTGCTGGGGCTCTGGGCCCCAAAACTACACAACTGTGATAGGGCTGGGTAGAAACGGGATATGGGGGATCCCTGGCATGGCCTCAGCTTCCCATTCCGTTCTTCTTGTTTGTCTTTTGAGACAGGGTCTCACTGTATAGCCCAGGCTCGCACCAATCCTCCTGCCTCAGCCCCCCGAGTGTTAGGGTTGCAGGCGTGCGTTCCCACCTCGGCCTCCTGTTCTATTCTGAAGGTTGTGAAAACTGGAGGCCAAGCTCCCCAGCCCCAACCTGGCCCGCAGGGCCTGGGGCCCAGTTCTTGGTTGGGAGACCTAGGCCTCACCTGCAGGCCCACGTCCAGCTCCGTCTCTCCCCATCTCTCGCTGAACTTCGCAGCCGTTGTCGTGAGGGGACGCTGCTCTTGTCATGTGTGATGTGGGCAAGAGAGGCCTGAACTGAGGGGTGTGCAGGAGTTTGCAGGGTGCCCAGATGGTAAGAGCTGGAGAGGTGTGGATGTGTCCAGCTTCCAGACTGGTGTGCATGTGCGTGTGTGTGTGTGTGTGTGTGTGTGTGCGCGCGCGCGTGTGTGTTTCTGGAATCCAGGCCAGGGCAGCTGGGAACTCAGTGCCCTACATAACCAAGATCCCTGGGCCACACACTAGGCACAGCCTAGGGTTTCAAGGAGACCAGCTGGGAGGACGTGAGGTGGGAGAGAGAGAACTCAGGCCTTTGCCCAGAAGATCTGAATTTATATTCTGCCTGGACTGCTTCCAGGCAGGCTGCCCTGGCCATGTCATTGCTTGGTGACGTGGTCTGCACCTATGAACAGGCTCCTCATCCCTGCTCACCAGAACCTCGGTTTCCTCGTCTGTAAGGTGGACTGTGTGAGGTGATACACACCAGATGCTACTTCAGCACAGACTTCTCTTGTGCTCAGTCTTATTATTCTTGGGCGAATGCAGCAGCCCAGAGGGGTTGTGAGTTGGATTGTGGCTGGGCTGCCTGGTCTGGCCCTGTACCTACCTGTGACCCAGGGGCAGAGACTCAAGCAGCACCTTCAGGTTTGTGTGGGATTCAGAGGTGAGCCTAGAAGGCTCTGCCAGCTACTTTGGGATTAGTTTGTTCACTAGACAGACATTGGGTGCTGTGTATCGAGCTCTGTGCACCCAGCGCCTGAGGATTCAGTGAGGAACAAGACACTGGGTAGCTGAGGCAAGGATCCCAGATTCCAGCCCAGCCTAGGCAACTTAGCCAGACCATGTCTCAAAATAAAAATTTAAAAGGACTGGGGATGCAGCTAGTGCCAAGCTGCTAGTCCAGTCCCCAGCTCTTCTTCCAGGGTGACAGGAGATGAGGCAGAGGGGTTGGTGTAGGCAGGTCACGTGGTGCCCTGTGGGCCCCTGGAAGGACCTGAGCTTTCACTCAAGGCAGATAGAGGGGCAGGACCTGACTTCCCTGTTTCTGGTCGCCCTCTTGGGGCTGTGAGGAGAACAAGCTTTGGTTGGGATGAGAGCGGAGCTGGCTTTGTTTTGTCTTTGTGGTACTGGTATTGAAGCTAGGTCCTCACCTATACACAGCAGGTACTCTATCCCAGAGCCACACCCCCAGCCCTCAAAATTAAAAATTAAAAAATCTGAAAACAACTGGAGATGTGGCCCGGTGCTTTTGGGTTCAATCCTCAGCACCATTCAAACAAAAACAGAAACCGCCTTTAGGGCTGCGTGCAGAGGATGCATTCCTGTTCCTCAGGGAAAGGTTAGTGCTGGGGCTGAATGTGGGTGGAAACATGAGTGGGTGGTAGCTTTTCACTTCCGGTCACTTTTTAAGCACAGACCTTAAGACAGTATTGACATTGTGGAATTTTTTTTTATGGTACCGGGGATTGAACTCGGGTTCTTGTGCTTGGGAAGCAGGCGGCAGAACCACTGAACTAAATCGCTGGCCCAACACTGTGGAATTTTGACCCTTCCCACACTCCATACAAAACCGCAACAATAATGATGAGGGCTGCTCACTTGTGTCCCCTTCTGTATGATGCCTTAGGCTAGGTCCTGACTCTGAGCCCTTTCACTTCCTCTTCCTCAGAGCCTAGCCCTGCCTTCCCCTTCACACATGTGGAAAAAGTGGCCCAGAGAGGTTAGCTGACCTGCACCAGGCCCCCCAGCTGCAGCTGCTCCTGGCTGCCCAGCCCAGGCTCAGGGTCCGCCGATCCCAAGCCAGCCTGCCTTCAGGGTTGCCTGGCCCTCCCATGCCCCAGCTGGGACAGCCCTCCTCAGAGGACCAGAGGCAGGCAGTGGCACCGTCCCGCCCACGCTGGCTACTTCTGGAGGCCCAAAGCCCCCCTGCATCCGCACTGGTCACCGCGGTGCCTGCAGGGGACGTTACAGCGTCTCTGTTGCCACAGGGGGTTCTGTGGGTGGATGAGGGGCTGCGTGGGGCCTCACAGATCCTCACCTTGCCTTCTCCCCACCCCAAGTGGTGCTCATCGGGGACTCGGGCGTGGGCAAGAGCAACCTGCTGTCGCGCTTCACCCGCAACGAGTTCAACCTGGAGAGCAAAAGCACAATCGGCGTGGAGTTCGCCACCCGCAGCATCCAGGTGGACGGCAAGACCATCAAGGCACAGATCTGGGACACGGCTGGCCAGGAGCGCTACCGCGCCATCACCTCCGCGTGCGTGTGGGGTTGGGGCGCAGGGCCTGCGGGGGGTGTGTAGGAGTTGGGCCAGTGCAACCACTTCTAAGAGGAGGGGGAGGATCGCGGAGGGGCACCTGGCCTTGCCCACACCCCGCTCCGGTCCTTGCTGGTGCTCGGTGAGATCCATTCTGAAAGAGAAATAAAAGGGTGGAGATGGAGCTCAGGGTGATGGGTCTGGGTTCAGTCCCCAGTTCTGCAAAAAAAACAAAAACAACAAAACAACACAACACCCTACAGGCTGCTGCTTTCTGGGCCCCTCACCTCCCAGCCCCTGGGCAGGTGCGACTCTGTCCACTTCCGTGGTCCAGGCCCGGCCCTGTGGGGCTACAGAGCTGCCCAGCTTCTTGCGTGCACGGCTTGGTGAACAACTTATGGCGTCGTCCAGCCCGACCCCAGCCCTGAACCCAGCCTGGGCGCAGAGCTGGGGCTCACGCTGGACTGCGGCCCACAGGTACTACCGCGGCGCGGTGGGTGCGCTGCTGGTCTACGACATCGCCAAGCACTTGACCTACGAGAACGTGGAGCGCTGGCTGAAGGAGCTGCGGGACCACGCGGACAGCAACATCGTCATCATGCTGGTGGGCAACAAGAGCGACCTGCGCCACCTGCGGGCCGTGCCCACAGACGAGGCCCGCGCCTTCGCAGGTAAGGGTTGGCGTCAGGGTCAGGCGGCGGGGCTGGGTGTAGGGCGGGTCCGCTGGGCTTTAGAGGAGCTCGGGGGTGGATGGTCCCTGTCCCCGCGGTGTCGGGGGCCAGACCAGGCGTGCTCTGTTCCAGAGAAGAATAACCTGTCCTTCATTGAGACCTCAGCCTTGGATTCCACCAACGTAGAGGAAGCGTTCAAGAACATCCTCACAGGTGGGCGCGGGCCGGTGCGCGCGGGGAGGACGCGGGCGCCCTCCATGCTTAAGCCCAGACACGTTGCGCGGAGGGGCAGCCGGGCCGAGGCCCCCCAGGGCCGTCAGCTCCCCATTTCCCTCTGATTAGGCGGGGACTCGGGTGTGTCCTCCGCTCACCCCGCTTCTCCTGGCTGCAGAAATCTACCGCATCGTGTCCCAGAAGCAGATCGCCGACCGCGCGGCCCACGACGAGTCCCCGGGCAACAACGTGGTGGACATCAGCGTGCCGCCCACCACCGACGGACAGAAGCCCAGCAAGCTGCAGTGCTGCCAGAACCTGTGACGC